CCCACACCTTTCCTGAGGTAAGAGCCTACACACTAAATCCCCCTTTGTTCTTTTCTCCACTAGTCTCTTCACCCGGTAATCCTATCACCACAACACAGGAAAACGTGTCTCCCTTCCCCCCTTGCTCAGGGGGCTCAGTTCCACTCTTACAGACCCACCCTAATCAGTCACCTAAGCCCCAGCCTTGACTGACTCACAAGCCAGTTTTTTGAGTCACAGTTCTGTCACAATCCTTGCCTTCTGAAAAAAATTTGCTAGAGGGCACAGCGACTGCCAGAGAAAGGGAGGAGAAAGCACCCCCAATGGGATATTGTCACACTGCAATCCCTTCTACATTTCTCAAACCTACTGGGATTTTGAGCATGTATGCACATGTAGCTGGTATGTTTTTTCAGGCCACTGGGTCCAGGATTTGAGCCACGCAATTGGCTATGTGGTATGTGGCTCGCTTAACCCTTTCTATTTTAAGACAGGGCCTGGGGGTCAGCATGTGGTGTAGTAGTTACGGTGTTGAACTTCTACATGGCCACCTGCAGTTGGAGTCCCGGACTCAGAGGCTTGAAACTCATGCCCGGCACATGTGCATGCATGCCCCAAGTCCCAAAGAGAATAGAGAAAGGACTACAATGTGGCCATCCCCCTGGGAGGTTTTTTCTCACTCTCTGTCTCTCCTATGAACAGACATGACCTATAGCAAAAATCTCTTTAAAAAAAAAAAAAAAGGCAGGGTCTCTGTCATGATCCTCCTCGCCTCAGCCTTCTAGCTGAAACTATAGGCATGCACCTCTACACTGGCTCTTCTATAGACAGGGTCTAGTCCAGGTCAACCTGGAACTTGTGACCCTCATGCCTGAGTTGCCGGGATCACAGACATGCACAAACACTCCCAGCAAACTGAATCAGGAATCAAACTCCTATCTCCCAAGCAGTCCAACCTTGAACAGCACTGTCTTATCAGCACAAGCCACTATACCTAGGCCTTTCTTTATTTTGATACTGTGTCTTTGAAATACATTTCAACAGACGAAATTACTGGAGCAAAAGGTAAAAACACATGTAGTTTTGCTAATTATTTCAAATCCCTCTTTGAGGAAGTGGGAATCCCCAAAAGCAATCACGGAAGTGGCTGATCCTCACTACCACGACGGTGTCTACTTCTGGGTGTTTGCTAGACAGTCAGAAATGTCTCCATGAAGTGCCAACGTGCATGATTAAGAGAGATTGAGAATCACTGGTATCTTGATAAAGGGCCATTTGCACTGTTTTTTTCTGTGAAGTCTGTTTTTTCTAAAGCCATTTTTTATCCTTGCCACCCAACATAAGGGCCAACTCTCAGCAAGTGGGCAGTGTATACCTCCTGGGCAACCAGGATCCCCAAGGTGAAATCCAAGAGCAGATGCCATGTCCAAGAACACAAGCAGCAGAGTCTGACTCCCGTGCACCTGGGAATAGACGAGCACCTTAATGGGGTGCTGTGCATGGACTGAGTGCACCTCAGAAAAGGGGAGGAAGCTGCTATAAACCAGCTCTCCTCCGGCCCTGCTCCTCTGCCTGCTGGGTCCTGGGGGAGGAGGGGAACAGTAATCAGGAGGCCCTAACTTCAACTGAAAGTAGATCTGAGAAGGTACTGACCAAGAGACACCCAGAACAGACCAAACTTGCATGTTACTGACCAAACGTAGTTATCATTATCGGTCAATTTGCTAGGCTGACTTACACACCAAAATAAAAAGTGCACAAGTTGATATATTCCTCAATGTTGAAAAGAACCTTACTAAAGGGTGGCTTTTGCCTGTTTGTCTTTGAGCACCACGTACCATAGGCTATTCACAAACAGGCCTCTTTCAGCAAGTTCCTCCATGTATCGGGCAGGGAGAAGATGGGCCCAAAGGAAAACGTGGGATGGCTTCTGAAAGTTCCCTTCTGAGCCCCAAAACTGCCTGTAATGCTAAGGCTGTGTCATCCCTGCTGGTTGGTGACAAAGAAGAGGGAGAGAAGACGTGTTCGTTCGTTCGTTCCTTCCTTCCTTCCTTCAATGAGTACTTACTGCTTTGACTGCACTTTCAAGTTAAAGAAGGGCCAGGCATGGAACCAGCAGTTAGCATAATAGCTATGTCGCTGAACTCCCACGATCGCGGTTTGAGTCCCGAACCCGGTAACTTAAACTCACACCAGGCGCATGTGCGTGCGTGCCCAAGATCCCGAGAGGAGAAGGGATTGCAGCGTGGCCATCCCCCCTGGGGGGTGATTTCTCACTTCCTATCTCTCTGTCTCTCTCTTTCTGGCGAGCGTACACGCCCTATAGCAAAAACCTCTCCAAAAAAAAAAAAGAAGGGCCAGGCAGAGTCAGGTGCAGTCAACCTGAGGCCTGAGAGAATCCTCAGCTACCCCTAATGTCCTTAAAGTCCTGGGCTATAGGACAAGGGAGAGTCAACCACTCTCTGGGCTACAGGTGCTTTCACCTCAACAAAGTAGGCAAACTTAAGACATAAACGCAGCCCAGCCTGATGGCACAGTCCCTAACAAACTGAACTAGAAGCCACATGGCTGATCGTAAGTTCGAATCTCGAGCTGATCCAAAAATATGCCATGTGCAGATACCCAGATCCTGACTGGCTAGAAGGCTAGGAAAAGGGAATTGTGGTGTGACGAGATCTTGTTGAGGGTGTGCCCATCTCTGACTTGTGAGCATGCACATCAGCTCACTCATGAATAAAATAAACTTAAAACAACAACAACAACAACAACAACAACAACAAAAAACACTATGAAAGCTGTGTGACTTCAGGAACTCTGGGTCCTTGGTCCTAGTCTCCCTTTTTATCGGTGTCAGACACCACCAAAGTGCAGTAATAGCACACCGAAACCAGCACCAGATAATCAACACTGTTAACACTGGTGACCCTGAACTATCTCTAAGAAAGTCTGTTCTTGACTCTGAAGAGCTCTGGGAGCCCCCTGAAGGGGTGGATAACACAAAACGATAAAGCTGACATGGACAACAATACGGAGATTCCTGAAACGATTTAACACAGGATTACCAACTGACACCACAACTGCATTCCTAGGTATACGGCAAAAAGAACCGAACGCGGGTCTTCAAACCAAAACAGATACACGCATGTTGCAAGGAAGCACTACTCACAAGAGCCAACCAAAAGGTAGAAACCACCCAATGTCCATCAATGGAGGAATAAATCAACAAAATATAGCAAATCTATGCAATGGAATACTATTCAGCCATAAAAAGGAATGAAGCTCTGACACATACTACAATGTGAACCAACTTCAAAAACATGATGCCAAGTAAGAAGCTAGGCCATGCAGTGCAAGACTCCATTTTTAGAAATGTTCAGAAGAGGCAAATCCATAGAGACTGAAAGCAGATTAGTGGTTGCCAGGGGCTGGGAGAGGGGGAGGGAGAGTAACTGCTAATGGGGGCAGGGTCTCCTTTTAGGGTGATGAGAATGTTCTAGAATTAATGACGACAGTCACACAACTCTTCAATAGCCAAAGTATCACTGAACTGTGTACTTTAAATGGATGAATTTCATGGCATGTGAATTATATTTCAAACAGGAAAAAAAACTTAAGCACCATGGAAGTTTGCTTTTGTTTTGGTTCTTTTTTTTTTTTTTTTTGAGAGATTTTCACTGTAGGGCGCGTGCGCTCGCCAGACAGATAGAGAGAGACATAGAGACAGAAAGCGAGAAATCACCCCCCAGGGGGGATGTTCACGCCGCAATCCCTTCTCCTCCATTCTCCTCTCGGGATCTTGGGCACACACGCACCCGGCGTGAGTTTTAAGCCACCGGGTCCGGGACACGAACCACGGTCGACTACGTGGGAGTCCAGCGACATAGCCATTACGCTAACTGCTGGTTCCCTTGTTTTGGTTCTTCATTGTTGTTTTTGTAAAGTTTGCTATAGGGTGTGTGCACTTGCCAGAAAGAGAGAACGAGAAATCACCCCTCAAGGGGGATGGCCACATCACAATCCCTTCTCCTATTCTCTCAGGACTTTGGGCATGCATGCACACGTCTGGCATGATTTTCAAGCTGCCAGGTCCAGGACTCGAAATCATGCGGTTGGCCATGTGGCATTCCGCCACCTTATCCCCACACCATCTGCTGATCTAGAAGTTTGGTTTTGTGAACAGAACCTTCTGGAGAGAATTTCCTGACATCAGGAGCACTTGATCATCTCCATTATTTTCTTGCCATTCGTGAGTAAGAGCTGAAACCTCAAGAAATTGACCCAACACTTGTCATGTAGTGCTCAGGACAGTCAGAAGGGCTGAATCCCACACTGTGTGGCTGGCAAAATGCCTTGGTTTCCATGAACCCCTAGGCAAGTCACCTGCCCGGTCTGGGCTCTGTGCTGTGGTATGCAAAAGGAAGCAGCAGAACAGGGAAGTTCTAAGGGGTCTCTCAGATCTACATTCTCCTCCAGGTACTCGCCCTAGGCTAAGACATGGCCTTGATAGTAACGGGGAAATTCTGCACAGGTGTGTGACAATGCCCTGCAGGGTTTGAGCAATCCCTGACAGAATCTCCACTTGAGAGTTCTGTGCATCTTCCCCATGAAGCCCAGGATAGGGTAAGACCAACCAACTCTGAACACCAGTGTGGGACCCTGTCTGGTGATGAAGGAAAAATGCAAACTGTCCCAGTCATTTGGGGAATCATGAGACTGGCCTGAGGCCAAAGACAACTTGGCCAGGATTATCGTCAGACCCTGATCCTCCCTGAGGATGGGCTCATCCTATTTATGCCTGGGCTTTTCAAATGAATGACCAATGACAATGATTTCTTTACTCCTGAGATTCAAGGGGCAGAGCCTAGGTGCATGCATCATGCAATCCCAGGTGTCTGCCTTCTCTAGGAGGTAGTGGTCAGCATCAGAAGCGGGCCTTGGTTTCAAATGCCCCAAGGACTGGTTGAGGCCCGCTGAATAAGCTGAAGTCTTCATTACACAGATACCAGGACCCCAGTTCTCACCTGGCTTCGGGGTACGGATGCTGGTCCTTTCAGTTGGCCATGGCCACAGCTCCGTCAGAAGGCAACTCGTGTCAACGTGCTGAGCAACCTAAAGCAAAGGACCAAGAAACACTTGAGTGTCCAGAGTAGGTTTCTAGAACATACTGGCCAACTTAAAATGCCTCCAACTCTTGAAGTTAAATTCCTACTGGAATTTAGTTTTCCACTACAGTTTTGCCTCTGCTATCTGCCACAGTGGAGTCAGGCTGAGAAAGTAAATTTCTATCAGTCTCTGAGATATGAACCTATATGGTGAGAACCAATAAACACCAACATTCTAAACACAGTTTTCACCGAATTCAGTGGAAAAGTGAGGGCCCAGCTATAGTGGTGTGGGCAGTAGGGCCTCACTGTACAACAGTGGCACCTCATGGGAGGTCAGGGTTTGGCTCTGAAAAGAGTGGGGGTTGGTGGAATCACAGAGCTGCAAGACCCTGTCAGGGGTATTTTCCTTCTTCCTTCCCTCCCTCCCTCCCTCTGTCACATAAGTACATAACATAAACAAATAGAGGGCCTACAGACGGCCTGGTGGTTCAGGAAGAAGCTCGATCACCCATGGCTGACTACGTGGTTCAAGTCTTGCACCCAGAGGCTTAAACACTTTGGACTCATGTGCATGCGTGCACAAAATCCCAAAAGGAGAAGAGATTACGGCATGACCATTCCCCATGGGAGTGCTTTTTCACCTTCCCCCCTTCTCTCTTGTGAGCGCATGTGTTCTCTGGCAAAAGAGAGAGAAGTGAAGTGGTAAACAGCTACACAGTGGAATGAAATTATTTCTACCTTTCACACACAGAACACATAAATGGTTCAAGGTTTCTATTATATGACATTAATAACAAAAAGAAGGCAGGCTCAGTGAGGGGTACACTGATAATGCGCTGTTTAACAATGGATCTATGTGGAAGATCATGGGTTTAGTTCTCCAGGTGATCTGTATACACCTGGCCAGCGCACCTATGATCCTGACAGAGTGGAAGGGCATAGGGAAACCACAGCATTGAGACCCTGTCGAGGGTAGTTCTCTCTCTCTCTCTCTCTCCCTAATAAACAAACATCTTGGAACAGATGGCGTAATGGTTACATCACTGGACTCCCAAGTAATCGACTGTGGTTCAAGTCCTGAACCCAGAAGCTGTGCGTGCGTGCACAAAATCCCAACAGGAGATCAGAGAAGGGATTGTGATGTGGCCATCTACTCTGGGGGGTGAATTTTCGCTTTGTCTCTATCACTCTGGCGAGTACATCCACCCTATAGCAAAAACCTCTCTTTCAAAACAAACAAACAAAGAAACAAAAACAAAGGGGCCGGTAAGTGGCATGGTGGCTAAAGGTGCTGGAGTCCCACATGGCCAACCATAGTTCAAGTCCCAGAATGGTGGCTTTCTTTAGCACTTTCTCTCTCTCTCTCTGTCTCTCTCTACTTAAATTGGAAAATAATAATAATGTTAATAATAAAGTTAAAATTTAAAAATTATTTAAAATAAGAACGAACGGACGAAAGAAAGAAAGGTATTAAGGAAAAGGTATTACTAGCCCTTAATAGGACGCATAGCATCTTGGGCTAGCCCTGTGGCCTAGGGAGCCAGATTCCACATGACCAGCTGTGGTCCGAATCCCAACCAAGACAGCGTGAAAAAAATGCCAGGTGCATGTGCATCCAAAACCCTGATGGGAAGAGGAGGAAGTAGGAAAAGGGAATGTGCATGACTGCTCCCCAGTGAGGAGGTTCTCTCTCTCTTATGACTGTAAGCACCTCTGGCAATAAAAAAGAAAAAATAGGGACCAGAAGATGGCGTAATGGTTATGTCGCTGGACTCCCAAGTAGATGACCACAGTTCAAGTCCCAGACCTGGCAGCTTTGAACTTACACCAGGAACGTGTGAGTGCATGCCCAAAATCCTGAAAGAATGAAGGAGAAGGGATTGCAGCATGACCATATCCCCGGGGAGTGATTTCTTGCTTTCTGTCTGTCTCTCCAGCGATCACGTGCACCCAAGAACAAAATTCTCTCTTTTTTAAAAAAAATGGGAGGGGGGAATAAAAGACACATACTTAAAAAAAAATGTCCACAGCCTGGTGGTTAAGGCAATCAAATTCCCATGACTAAACATATGGTTCCAGTCAGCCCTGGGCCCTGTGGTTTGAGTAATACCCTGGGGTGCCTATGTATTAGCCCAAAATTCCAAAAGGAAGGAGAAATAGAGAAGAGGTGATTGTGGTATGATCATGCCCCATTGTGGGGTTGCTTTCTCTCTCTCCCCACCATCTTCCACCTCCCACCCCCACCCCACCCACACTCCACAAGTGCATGTGCCCTCTGACAAAACAAAACCAGCATCTCCATGAATCTCTAAGACCACCTTCATGGTAGGTTGCAGGACTGTGGCCATTTTACAGATAAGAGATCCAACGTATCTGATATTCAAGAACTAGCCAAGATGAGAGAGTCTGTAGGTAGCATCCAGGGCTCATCCAGGTCTCACTCTTCAAATGTGACTTCCTAGCCACTACGTTCGCTGGTTCAGATCCCAGGGAAACTAGCTGCCATTCCAGGGAGTACTGGGCTTGCCCTCAAGAAAGGTAAGGCCACCATGTACCTGGGAACAAGTGGACTTCATGTCCCAGATGGAGGCAGCTTTAGCTCTGATCCATACAGCTTACAATCCCAAGGAGGAAAGGGCTGCCTGTTTTCCAGACAGGAAAATTAAGGCTCAAGAATGTTCAGGAAGTCTCCCAAGGTCACAGAGACAGGGTGGCCCCAGGACTTCCACTCCTAGTGGTGACGTCAGACATCCAGGGCTGCAGGCCAGAGGCTGAACCTAATGAGCCAGCCAAATGCCAGACTCCAAGGCAGCTCTGTCAGTTGTAGCTTCCCAAACAGTGTCAACATCACCTCTGCTGTCATTCTCTGCACCCACATGACTACCAAGAGCTTGCTCTGATATGGAACCTTTATTTTTGAACTGGGTTCACAGCAATTCACGGCTCATGGAAGGCGAGAAACACTCCCACAGGGGAACTTGTGAAATAAGGACAGGAGCAAACACCAGTGAGCTCTGGGGAGAGACTTCTCAGCACTACGGGGCACACACAGCACCTTCCTAAATAAAGCCAGGGCTGGCCATAGCCACTGGCAGAGAGGCCACTCTTTTCGGTCCCATGCAGACTGTGGAACTCTAGGGGTGCTGTGTTAATCCTAATTCTCTCACACCTGCCAAACTGAGGCCTCTCTGCTCTGAAGGTAGGAAGCTTCAGAAACAGGTGCTCTGTGCTACCTAAGCACCTGCCCTGTTAGAGGATCAAGGCCAAGTTCAAGTCAGCTGTGTTTCTATCCACTAAGAAACAGAACTCAAAACCTTTAAAATCCACTTAGATCCCGTCACAAGAGGATGCACTGCTGCTCAGTAGGCTGGGGCTACGTGGAAGGCCTGGGATCCATTCCTAGTCTACCCTAAAAGCTGTGTGTGGGGGTGCATGCCTGTAGTCTTAGCTACTCAAGAGCCTGAAGCAGGAAGGTCACAGTGCTGCTAAAACCTCGTCTAACACCACGTACACACCACAGAAAAGCCCACTGACATTTGCAGAAACAATGTGGAAAAGGGTCAGCAGGTGGCATAGTGGTTTAAGGGCTATATTCCCACATGTCCTAACATGGTTCAAGTCCCAGGCCCAGCAGTTTGAATACATGCCTGCCACATGTGCATGTGTGCCCAAAATTGTGCGAGAAGAATAGAGGAGAAGGGATTGCCATGTGGCCGCTCCTCCCTAGGGGGTGATTTCTCACTTTCTCTCCCTCTTTTTTTTGGAGAGGTTTTTCGCTATAGGGCGCGTGCGCTCGCCAGACAGACAGAGAGAGACATAGAGACAGAAAACGAGAAATCACCCCCCGGGGGGATGATCATGCCGCAATCCTTTCTCCTCCATTCTCCTCTCGGGATCTTGGGCACACACGCACATGTGCGCGGCATGAGTTTTAAGCCTGGACCAGGACGCGAACCGCGGTCAACTACATGGGAGTCCAGCGACAAGCCATTACGCTAACTGCTGGTTCCCTCTCCCTCTGTCTTGTACACACTCCCTATGGCAAAAATGTTTTTTTAAAAAAGTGAAATAATTTGGGACCAGCAGTTAGCGTAATGGCTATGTTGCTGGACTCCCACGTAGTCAATCGCGGTTTGAGTCCTGGACCTTGCAGCTTAAACTCACGCCGGGCTTGTGTGCGTGTGTGCCCAAGATCCCAAGAGGAGAATGGAGAAGGGACTGCGGCGTGCTCATCCCCCCGGGGGGGGATTTCTCGCTTTCTGTCTCTCTGTGTCTCTGTCTTTCTGGCGAGCACACGTGCCCTATAGCAAAAACCTCTCTCAAAAAAAAAAAGTGAAATAATTAAAGATAAAAAGACTATAACAGGGCTAGCTGGTGGCATGGTATGTAAGGCAGCTGAATCCCACATGGCCGACTGTGCAGTTTAAGTCCCAGACCTGGTGGCATGAGAAACACACCAGGCATATGTGTGTGTAATGCCCAAAATCCCAAGAGGAGAATGGAGTAGAAGAGATTGCAGGGTCTCTCTGGGGGATGCTTTCTCACTTCTCTCTGGTGAGCTCACATGCCCTGTGGCAAATTTTAAAAAAAGACTATAGTAGGGGCTAGCAGGTGGCATGGTGGTTAGGGTCACTGGACTCCCACATGGTTAACCACAGTTCAAGTCCTGGACCTGGCAGCTTGCTTTCTCGTTTTCCCTTTCTCTCTTACTCTGTCCCTCTCTGGTTAAACTGAAATAAAGAGAAATAAATAAAGTTAACTAAAATAAATCTCTTTTTTGGAGGTTTTGCTATAGGGCACATGCGCTTGCCAGAAAGACAGAGAGAGACAGAAAGCGAGAAATAACCCCCCAGGGGGGATGGCCACGCCGCAATCCCTTCTCCTCCATTCTCCTCTCAGGATCTTGGGCATGCACGCACATGCGCCTGGCCTGAGTTTAAGCCACCAGGTCTGGGACTCAAATCGTGGTCAACTACATGGGAGTCCAGTGGCATAGCCATTACG